CTTTTTTTATTGCTTGTTCAAACTACATGTGGTATGTAACCAAATAAACAGTTGTGTACCATCAACCTGGGAAAGCGTACAACCCCTATTGCCACAATGACCATAACACGAGATACACAATAAATAAATACACAGTAAAGCAGTGGGCATGTAAAGGGAAGTAACTGTGTATTATATTGGATCGCATTGTTTTTAAGTCTCAGGATAATTTTCTTTTTTTCAAATGTAACAAAAAAGAAACGTGCGCCAGACTTTATGATGATGCGGGCTGTCCCTGAGAACCAAGACTATAATTTCTATAGCTGTAGATATGCTACAATTGGCTGATGATGCGGTGAATGCTGATACTTTCTGTCATGATGCGAGTCGCCATACAAAGCAACCCAAGTTGAAACCCACAAAGCATGCGAAAGGTTATGATAATGAATTCAAACTACTTATCTCCAATATCGTTACAAGAGTTCTCAAACCTCTGTTACCTCAACTGACTCACATGTACATGTCTGATGGAATACTTATCTTGTAGGGCTGGGACGGGGCTGGTGGTTACTGAGTAGGTCCCGGGTACCCACAGGACTACCTGGACCCGTGGTTAGTCGCGTCATATATTGTTGAATGATAACAAAATCACTACTACAACTACAGGGTTACCTACAACTCGTTAATGTTCGGATATCTTCCTGACTTTAAACACATTCCTTCTGACTTTTATACGTTTTGAGCAATGATACAGCTGCAGATGACCAGATCGTTTTATAGGTGTATCTCAATACTTTTTACTAGGGGTACGGCAAAACAATTCCTAATCGGACATTATGTACCCATCTTTGATACCTTCAAAGTATCCGGGTAGGGTCGGGTAATAGGGGGTAGGGTACCCGGGTAGTAACTTTGGACTCGTCCCAGCCAGGTGTCAGGGGATAATATATTAAATCACGTCAAGGGACGCAACATCTTTAATGACCCAATACCATCAGATATGTATCCTATTTTGATAAAATGTATTGCAACAGCTGTTAGTCAATGTGTGGTTATAAAATGCAATTGTTTAATTATTTAAAGACATTTGATTTAATAGTACAGCTAATATGACAAATAATATTCTGAAAATACAATTTTTGCATCTTTTCATATATGACTAGTTTCTTAATTGTCATATTTTAATCTGGAAAGATACATTTGGGGAATATAAAACATTTCATGAACACACAGTGCCATTTAGAAAGTGGTCAAATATAACAAATGTTCTATTTGGGATAACAATTTCTGCAGATTCTCATACTTCTTTGGGTTGAGTCCCATCGGGGATTCGAACCCATACTGCCATACCGCCAGCACACATTTCAGTTCAAAATTACATGTAAATTAATAGTATAAATTCTTATTCAAGATTACACATACATCATAATAAAGACACACTTAGGGACAAACATGTTCAAACCAAACATATGGAAGTCTCTTTATTTACAATACTGTTTCTATGGCTACAAGGCATTGGAAACATGGTGTTTTGGAGTAACTGCCATCATGTATTCCCCATGACAGACATGTCCACCACCTCATACATAAGATCTTAATTCAAGATGGTTCACAATCCAGCCTTGACAACAATATGATGACACAAATTCCTGTGGGATTAAAATTAATATCATTAATCAAGTTGCTACTGGATGTGGAGGAATTTAGTGAGTGAGGCTTTACATGGTTTTAGTGTCATCACATAGGGAGGCAACGATGTGATTCTGTTTAACCCTGAGTGTGTGTGTGTGTGTGTGTGTGTGTGTGTGTGTGTGTGTGTGTGTGTGTGTGTGTGTGTGTGTGTGTGTGTGTGTGTGTGTGTGTGTGTGTGTGTGTGTGTGTGTGCACGAGTGTCAATGTGTGTGTGACTGTGGTGTGTGTATGCCTGCGTGAGTGAGTGAGCGAATGAGTGCAGAGAAGCAGTATTTAGTCATATGAAAAAGGGTCAGTGTCGGTAGTACATGTTCACAACTTTCATGACCCTACATCATACATCTGGTGCTGACAGACCAAGGCCCCTACTCAAGAATCTGGGAGTCAAACCATGACCAATTGATTGTGGCAGCAATACCATGGAAGCATATAAACACGGATTACTTCCAAAAGCTAATCACATCTATATATCAATTACACACAAGTCGGAGGCTCTTTCAAAGGCATATCAATATTTACATATCAGCAGGATCTATGTAGCGGTAATAGAAAGCGAAAGTGATATGCATAGTACATGGGTTTAAAGAATTATCTCCCTTACTAAAAAAACGCTTTGCTGACAATTTGTTGTGATGGAGACACGTCGGAGAAGGGGGGAGAGTTTGATGTTTCGATGCAAATACGAAGGAACAATGGTGTTTACGGAGTCTAGGATGTTTGTGAGTAACTATAGATGTTGTATGACGTGCGATGGCTCCCGTATCTGACATGCATAAGAAAAAAGCCTTAAAATTTGAATCTTGTGTTTACAGTGAGTTGCAAGTGTCAATGGCGAAGTACCACTATCATCAGCCATGGAAGTTTGTCTGTCACAGGACAATGACAACAGCAGGTCAGTACACACAATGGAGGAAACAAACAAGTCTGCAACATTTCATAGCTGCACCATGAAATAAGCAAAGAAGATTCAGTAACACAACATGAAGACATATTGAAAACAACAATGTAGTATACACTACAAGAATTACCTTAGATGCTACGTATACTAAATTTCTAAAACATAAACAACTAATCAAATTAAAAGACATTTTTGAAGCCCTGGTAGCAGAGTAGTAACACTGGTCAAATGAACTCCTTGTTGGTAACATTGCTGCAGTTGTTTAATGTCACCATGGTCAGCAGTAACAAGCACACACCCAGTGAAACATAAGTTGCCAATACTGCTGCTTTGAAAACCAACATGCGGCACTAATACAGAATTCTATGGCAGATTTAAAATTACACATTTCCAGATCAGTTTCATGGTGGAAGGAATCATTTTTGGCACCATATCAGAGTTGGAAGGTTGATTTTTTCAAATATCAAATAAATTTCAAAACAATCATGCCAAGCAACATCTAAACTGAACTTGGAATGGAACAGCGTGGACACTGCAGAGCTTGGATTAATTTCTGCCCAGAAAACACGAGAAGCAGTAAGTGGTGGGCAAACTTCATTAATTAAGGATGGTTTGTGTTGACTGTCAATTGCCACATTCTCTATGGTGTTGAACACCTTTTCGTAAATAAAATCCTTCTTTCTATGGCAAAGAATTATTTAATTTGTTAATTAGTGAGCGAATTGCCACGCCTTAGACCACTGGGCCACCTGTGCCACCTGTGCCCCCTAATTTGTTTATAAACTCAGTGTAATTCGTGCAAAAGCTAAACACTGAAATTTAATCAACTGAAATATCAAGAACAGGAATTAAAACAAGCAGAAAGAACATAAAGGTCGCTTTAGTTAGCCAGACAGTTTTCATTATGCATGGCAGTGAAAGACAAGGGCAATATGTGGACTATACACAAAAATATGTACATCAATGCATGAGGCCAATATGTACATTGGAATTAATATTATGTAAATCACATCCTGAAGACCTTTACCATCAGATATGCACACATTACATATGTAACATAGCCAAAAGAAATATTGTAGAGCTACACCTATTCAACAGGGAGACAACTAACAGGTTTAGTCCACTAGTCCTTAAAATGATAACATATTAAAACCCCTTAAAAATGGCAAATCTCAACCAGTCCTCATACCGAACTATTGGGCAGTTTGGCAAGGACAAAAGGACTAGTGCCCTTTCTAACACTGTATTGTAAATCAGATATTCTAACACAGCTGACTACAGAACATGATGTCTAAATACCTTCAAACTGTGGAGTCTGTGAATTTGATTTTTATGTGCAATAAATATGATCATGAAAATATGCCCGATGAATATAAAGAGAGTATTATACCTGTCTACATAGGCGGGATTTCTCAACATCACAAGAAAATTCAATTACAAACATCTTCAATTAAAATTTGATCTTATTCTTCTGATATGATTTGGATCATAATATGACTGATTTCAGGCAAAAAAATAATAGTTTTATAATTACATGTATATGCTTTTGATCTTTATATCTTTGGCTGTAAATGAATCTCATGACTATTTCATGTATATATACATATATACACATTTGCAATAGTGTTTCAGTTCATTACAATGGGAATATGTCAATCTCAACATTAATCACTTTCATATCAATCTGCGTCCCCTTGCCATACAAACTGTCAATCCCTTCGAGTGATATCAATACACCCAAATGGCACAACACTTGCAATAGTAGCCAGTAGTAGCCAGTAACCATCAAGAGTAGGTTCACCTTTTCTTCAAATTCTTATGACATACGCTGGGACAATGAATGCATCTTTGACAAAAGGACAATGAATGCTCCCTTCATTACACAACAATGAATGCCCCCTCCACTACAGAACAATGAGTGCTACCTTCACTACACAATGAATGCTCTCTTTACCTTTCCATCATGAATGCTCCCTTAACTATGGAACAATGAATTTTCTCTTCACTATAGAACAACAAACTCTCTTTGTAACTGTTGACTTCTACAAATAATGGCAAATATTTTGACATTACTTCTTACATTAAAAACCTGAGAGTAGTTTGATTTCGAAATCACAATTCATTGCATTACCAGTTCTTAATTTGTCCAGTATACATTTTATGAAAAACCTCAAAACCTGTACACTAACAATACTCTAAAATGAACACAAAATTAACAGATTCAGTCAGACAAAACCAGAGGAAATAATGTTTAAAACACACTTTGCAACCTAACTGGAACATATTACAGTTTTAAATATATATTCACAAAAACGTACAAAAAAAGTACATGATTTTTGTATTTTAAAAGACTGCATATTTCAAACAAAATCATGAAACATGAAACTAAATACTTGGTGAATGAGTGAGGGAGTGAGTGAGTATGGTTTTACGCCGCTTTAAGCAATATTCCAGCAATATCACAGCGGGGGTACCCATGTTGGGAATCGAACCCGGGTCTTCGATGTGACTAGCGACCGCTTTAACCACCAGGTTACCCGACCGCCCCCTTGGTGAATGAATGAGTTAAGACAAATGAATGAATACTCAGAGGTACTGAGCTGCAAGGAATGACAAATGATGAGTCCTAAGGTGGTGACTGAATGTCGACATTACACACACAATATCACTGATGTCATCGTATTGTTCCGATGATGTCATGAGTTTCCATGAACAATGATGTCATAACAGATTGTTCCCAACAATACACCTGCATGACATCATATCACTTCAACTTACCATGACTGAGAACTACAAAATACAGTTATAAAAAAGACATGAGGGTGAATGAGTGAATCTGGATGAATGACACTATTGGTAGTTTCAACCTTGACCAAAACCCACACAATAAAGGAGGTAGTGGCAAGTACAGAAATAAATGTTGATACTTCCTGTTTCTTTGGAAGTAACCAACCTGAGGCCGAGACGATGAAGAAGAAAGTTAACTCTCCTAGTCATATGTCTCTACCAACTAGGGTAGGAGTACCTGTAGGGACCGGGTAGCTTGTTCAACTGTTTTACCTCTACCAAAGATTAAAAAATGTCTTGCGAAGTAATCTTACTTGTTTTCATGCAAAAGGTTTTAATCTGACAATGAAAATTGTACAACTAAGAACTAAGAGTGTTGTGTGGGAATTAATGAAGAAATATAAAAAAATTATTTTGGGTAATGTCTTGGATAAATGGCCAGAGATTTACGAACATTCACGGATGACAGTCCTGTAGCAGCAACCCAGTACATTATGCATCATTTTGGCACACTGAAATGTCTTTGTTAGACAACTTATAACCTCCATAATGGTAAATTGAGCAACAACACAAAGCCATGGCACAACAGCTCACCTGGATATGTAGTTTAAAATGTCGGCAAAACAGCCACTCCTCAAAAATTGCTGTCAGCATTGACATTCAAGTAGTATTTACTGCATAAAATTGGGCGAGAAACACTCTAAAACATGATGTGAACAAAATATGATGGCATCATCACATCTCTCATAATAATGCATTTTGAGATCATTTTAAAATGAGTTCAAAAGTTTTCTTTTTGCAACAAACAACACATACATGTAGACCAAATATCCTTTAAAGTTTTGAAACAAAATGACTGAGTAATGACCTTAAGATGACCCAGCTTTCAGCTTTCGTGCAAAGACGAAATACAGGTAAAAATTTAAAATCTCACATAAAACAGAAAAATGGGAAAATATATGTTGAGATGCATTACTAACTGAACATATACCACGATTTGTGAATAAACTCCACACTGTGACGAAGAGCCATTCATTCAACGGACTTGGTTTAACCTTATATCACAAAGTTATTGAGAACATCAATTCATCCAAAAGCATTTCCCACAAGTCATTGTCTCTTAAGACAGGAGGGAGCCATTTATACAAATATTTTGCAAGGAGGCCAGACAGAATATTACATCAGTACAACTATTCACATCATTTGATACAAAACATGGTCCTCTGAGTCACAAACATAAACTAACAATAAGACATACGCAGCCACCAACATCAAAATGTTGCAATGATTTCCTTTAGAGAACTGTACGTTCCTGTAGCGAAACCTATAACACCAAACATCATAATGAGCATGTTCTTGACAAACATCAGCTTGGATATTGATTCATCCTCGCCTGAGTATGTGATGATCTCAATGAATGCTGGGAAAATCAAAGCAAGCGAGCAGCTGGCAAAGGCCCCGATCAGCGAGATGAGGAGGTCAAGATGAGGGATGAGGATGGCAAATCCAACTGTAAGAAACAACAGAGAAGTGAGTGAGTGAGTGAGTATGGTTTTGCGCCGCTTTTAGCAATATTCCAGCAATATCACGGCGGGGGACACCAGAAATGGGCTTCACACATTGTACCCATGTCGGGAATCGAACCCGGGTATTCGGCATGAAGCAAACGCTTTAACCACTTTGCTACCCGACCGCCCCTCAGAGAACATGATACTGGTAAGTCTTTCAATGGCATTTAGAAGTGATACACAGACGGGAGAGAAGGAAGCCTAAACTACCAAACGTTGTGTTCCTCATAATAATGAAGTTGACATCCATAAATTCTCTCCCTTATGATACTGATAATTTATAATATTAACAAATATTTCGAACACTGTTTGGTGTCTGGTGGGGATACGCATAAATGCATTTGATTGGCAATCATTTACCTGTTTTTTCAACTGAAATATATGATGTGAGATAATTGTAGAGCACTTATTCATAATACTATATGTTGCTGTGTGTTTGTTTGTCTATTGTTTAACGCCGCACTCAGCAATATTCCAGCTATATGACGGCTGTCTGTAAATAATCAAGTCTGGACCAGACAATCCAGTGATTGACAACATGAGCATCGATCCATGCAATTTGGATCGATGACATGCATCAACTAAGTCAGCAAGACTGACCACCCATCCTGTTAGTCGCTGTGCTGTGTGCTGACATCATGTGCTGTGTGTTGGATTCATGTGCTGTGTGTTGGATTCATGTGCTGTGTGTTGGATTCATGTGCTGTGTGTTGGATTCATGTGCTGTGTGTTGACATAATGTGCTGTGTGTTGACATTATGTGCTGCGTGTTGGCATAATATGCTGTGTGTTGACATAATGTGCTGTATGTGGACATGTGCTGTGTATTGACATCATGTGCTGCGTGTGGACATGTGCTGTATGTGGACATGTGCTGTGTGTGGACATGTGCTGTGTGTTCACATAATGTGCTGTGTGTGGACATGTGCTGTGTGTTCACATAATGTGCTGTGTGTGGACATGTGCTGTGTGTTGACATCAATGTGCAGTGGACTGACTTAATGTTCTGTTTGTTGACATAATGTGCAGTGGACTGACTTAATGTGCTGTGTGTTGACATAATGTGCAGTGGACTAACTTAATGTGCTGTGTGTTGACATAATGTGCAGTGGACTGACTTAATGTTCTGTTTGTTGACATAATGTGCAGTGGACTAACTTAATGTGCTGTGTGTTGACATAATGTGCAGTGGACTGACTTAATGTGCTGTGTGTTGACATAATGTGCAGTGGACTAACTTAATGTGCTGTGTGTTGACATAATGTGCAGTGGACTAACTTAATGTGCTGTGTGTTGACATAATGTGCAGTGGACTGACTTAATGTGCTGTGTGTTGACATAATGTGCAGTGGACTAACTTAATGTGCTGTGTGTTGACATAATGTGCAGTGGACTGACTTAATGTGCTGTGTGTTGACATAATGTGCAGTGGACTGACTTAATGTGCGATGTGTTGACATAATGTGCAGTGGACTGACTTAATGTGCTGTGTGTTGACATAATGTGCAGTGGACTAACTTAATGTGCTGTGTGTTGACATAATGTGCAGTGGACTGACTTAATGTGCTGTGTGTTGACATAATGTGCGGTGGACTGACTTAATGTGCTGTGTGTTGACATAATGTGCAGTGGACTGACTTAATGTGCTGTGTGTTGACATAATGTGCAGTGGACTGACTTAATGTGCTGTGTGTTGACATAATGTGCAGTGGACTGACTTAATGTGCTGTGTGTTGACATAATGTGCAGTGGACTGACTTAATGCGCTGTGTGTTGACATAATGTGCAGTGGACTGACTTAATGTGCTGTGTGTTGACATAATGTGCAGTGGACTGACTTAATGTGCTGTGTGTTGACATAATGTGCAGTGGACTGACTTAATGTGCTGTGTGTTGACATAATGTGCAGTGGACTGACTTAATGTGCTGTGTGTTGACATAATGTGCAGTGGACTGACTTAATGTGCTGTGTGTTGACATAATGTGCAGTGGACTGACTTAATGTGCGATGTGTTGACATAATGTGCAGTTTACTGACTTAATGTGCTGTGTGTTGACATAATGTGCAGTGGAATGACTTAATGTTCTTGGTCTTATTCTGCACTGAAGAATCTACTCACATGTGATGAGCACAAGAACTATCCTCAGCAGATACTCGCCGTAGACGATGAGTCTCCGCGACACAAGGTGGGACTCAATGACCGGCCAGATGATCTTCATGGGCACATAGAACTGCACACCATACGATATGAAGATGGATATTGCAAACATGAGCTTCACTGACAAGTACAGCCTGAAAGTGAAACAGAACAGAATCAGCGTCACATACTCCATGGAGTGTTAGAAAGGGTTCTTTCTCAGAAGTGTAATATACTCACCACCAAAAGAAACATGAACCATAGAAACATATGGAGAAATATGTACGTTGATATATGTTATCAATGTGTACCAACTAAAGACAATCAGTCAAGTGTTACCACAGTGTCTTTATTCTCATCACGATATGCTGCATGTGATTTCCAAACTTTACTCAATAATCCTGCACAAAACAAATGGTGCATCTAGAGTCATGGATCTATGACGTCATACGTGATTCGTTCTTGAGCATCAGCTTACACATCACACCAGTATGTCCGTTTGTGCATCAAACCAATCTAATATCTCTTGAATACGAGTCTCCATATCTTAACCAACATGTATGGTAGTTGTGTTTCTTTTGGCAGTGAGTATACTACAAGTTTAATTTTAGCATGTTTAGTGGCCTTTAGGTCCAATCCTATGGTCAAGATCCTTCAGGATGCTGAACCCTGTTGCTTTCTAACACTGAGATGCTGCTACGTCATGTACATATTCGTCACAAACAGTGGGAATAGGCATCCCGAGGTCAAGGCCACCTGTCGTGGCTCAAGGTCAGGGTTGCCGAAGTGGTACTGCCCAACATAGCCCGAGCAGACCCCTTGACGCTGGTCAGGAAACATGGCACTCGGTCATCACCAGTGTTCTGGTCTGGTGTTCCTGATGTGTGCTTTGTTCCTTCTCTACTGACACATACCAAGGGTCTGCTGGTTGCTCCAACGTGGGCGAGGACACGGGAGCACTGGGGACAGAGGGCTGGTTCGATTTGGCAACTGAAACGACGGATGGGACAGCCGGCTTGGTGACACTTTGGGCTTCTTGGCAGAGGAAGGCCTGTGTTCCACATCTGTAGACTTAGAAACTGAATGGTTCCTCCGATAGTGAGAACACTGGTAACATCTGTGTTACCAACAGCCACGACAATCCCAACAATGACCATGAGGTTCAGCAGTTGAGTAAGTATGTCTGTACTTTAGACAGGCCAGCATTTTTCATGTTTCATACACATCCTCTTCTTGTAGTAGTATTGTAAAAGTTGATACAAATGATGAGGTAGCACACGCAAAATACAAAAAAATGTTTTCTCTAAAACTCAAAACATCTCCACAGGGTGGCGATGAAAAAGAGAATGATGTGGAAGGGTCGTCAGGTGATCAAGCCGTGCAAGGTCACACACAAGGGATTACAGTCCAGTTTGTTTTCATTCGTGACCATTGTGATGATGGGGATGTTCAGGTGAAATGTTTTTAGAAGCTGGAAACTTTGTTAAAGCACATTTCCACAGAAGGATCAAAAGAAGAAGTGAGAAATACATAGAGTGAGATAGAAGTCTCGAAATGCAGCTTTTCAATATGGACGCCATGGTGGCCATATTAAAAACCAGATTCAAATCTTTTGAACACAATCAGCATCCACCAGTCGTGGGAACAGTTGTGTGGAAAGTTGAATTATCAAATAAACATATTGTGTTAAGCCCAACTACCAAATGCACATATACCAAATCTCGTTACATTCTGAAAGAAAAGAAATAAAACATAATCGTATTGTCAAAATTTGTTTCAAAATATCGAACTGAATTTCCAAAATGGTAAAGATCGGAATGAGTGTAAAACTCGACCTACCAGTCATCGGTTGGCAGGTTCAGTGTTATGCTGCCCTTAGCTTCGTCTCCGTATTTGAGGTAGCCATAGAAGCCGACGGCTGTGTAGAGACTTGTAACGATCACCATGCCCAGGTTCAATACGCCCGTCCACCCGGCGAAGTCCTGAGGGTTCCGCATCTTGTTCTCTAGAGGAAGCACCTGCCGAGGAGTGAGTGAGTGAGTGAGTGAATATGGTTTTACGCCGCTTTTAGCAATATTCCAGCAATATCACGGCGGGGGACATCAGAAATGGGCTTCACACATTGTACCCATGTCGGGAATCGAACCCGGGTCTTCGGCGTGACGAGCGAACGCTTTAACCACTAGGCTACCCGACCGCCCTCCTGCAGAGGAGAAAGAGTGAGTGAGTGAATAGGTGATATTTCAGAGCGTGCCACTAGGGGTCACAGGTTGTGAAAGATGTAAAAAATATTTGGTAGATAATTAATTCAGATAGAATCAAAACAATTACATGCAAGTAAAAAATGATATTGATCTTCGATACCTCGATCAGATAAAGGACAGTTTCTCCTGCATATATTGATTTTCTTTTTGCCAACTACCTTCATTATTTCTCAACAACAATAGTCCGCCTTGAACTGTTATTCATAGCAGATATCCAATTTTGTCGAGACACTAACAGCACAAACCTTCAACATGTTTATTAAACATTTTTTTCCTCCAACTGTTCGTGACAGCCAAACAAAACAAAAGTCATGAGAAAACAAGAAAACTGTTATCACTATTCCCCGCCATGGGGCACATTAGAATTTTGTTTGTTCGTATAGTAGTGAATATAAGCTATGAAAAAAAGAGTCCTATAAAGCCTTGAGAAGAAATAGGCGCTTGGGCCACTTTGTGTCATCAGAAAATAATGATTAAATACAAAACTTATACACACAAAAGGACCCTTCTCTGGAAAAAAGATAAGTATCTCTTAGATATGCTCACTTCAGTAGTTTCTGTGTAAACTTGTCCCCATTGCACATGTTGCAGACACTATGCACCAAGTAAAATAACATGGATCAAGGGTCATATTCCGTAAACAAAGAATTTACCGGACCAATTTTCGAACTCAGGTTTGACAAGTTTCAAGGAAAGTTGACCCCATTACCCCATTATTAGCCTCAAAGTGAGATTGACCAATCAGAGAGCAGAACTACTGACCCCACATGAGCCCATATACCGTCAGAAAAAAATCCAAGACGGTTGATACTGACCTGATATGAGACCATATTCCGTCAGTAACAGCCATTTTGGATTTTCCAACCCCCACCTCACATATTTCACATGAAAATTCTGGTACAGAAATTCATTATTCGACACTGTTTTGTGTTTGATATCATCATTTGGATGTGCAAAGACATTGATATATTTTTAGACCCCATTTGTGAGTTAAATTGATAAAGATTTAGATTCTAGTTAAAATTATCAACAAGGTTTAGTATCTTAGGTTTGAAGAGTAGTCTCCCTTTGACCTCTAAAGTCAACGGTTGTAAGTGTCAAGTTTTTATTTTGACATGACATGTGGCAAATGGATACCAGATAGTGTAAACTTTTCGGCATAAACATTTTTTTATGTTGTCTAGTTGCCGTATAAGGTGTCATATTAGGTTAACACAAAAATATTTTCCTGCTAACCTAACATTGCTCCGTATATGGCAACTAAAGACACCATAACCAATAGATTTCACTAAGTTGAAAAGCTTGGAGCAAGGGCCATAACTCTCTAAAGATTTTCAACTCATGCGATCTGACTAATGGTTGCGGGAAAAATTCCAAACACACAGAAATATCAAGTGCTCAATCGCCTTGAAACTTGAATCATTAATAAAATGTCCTTGCTGATAGAGAAAATATTGGCTTTGATGCATTGTGACCCAAATACAAACAAATTTTAAGGCCACATAGCTGTCAGCAAAACTCAAGATGAGACAATATTCATACATTCAAAATTTGAAAAATGTTCATTCTAAGGTAAAATGTTTAAATAACAAATATGTTATTTCTCTTGTCGATTCAAATGGCACAAAACATTTCCAAAAACTGGATTTGTTTGTTTGTTAGTTTAACTCTGCACTCAGCCAGATACATATCATCCAAAGGATGACAGTCAGTCAATAAACCAGTGATCGATATAATGAGCAACTTCCAATGTAATTGGGTGAGTAGGTGAGTGAGTTGGGTTTAACACTGCTTTCAATATTATTCCAGTTATATCATGGCGTATCAGCTCAATGTGGGAGGAGAGGCCAACTTGATGCAGGTCTCAGACGTTTACCACTTCGGGATTCGAACGCACAATCATAGGTTTCTGGCGTGCCGAGTGAGTGAGTGAGTGAATATTGCTTAACGCCGCATCAGCAATTTGCAGCTATTCGCGGCGATCTGGCGTGCCGAAAGGACGCAACTCTGCACAGCGAATCACGGCGCCTTAGACAACTGGGCCACCCGTGCCCCCACCCATGTAATTGGGATACAATGACATGCAATTCACCAAGCCTGACCGTCTGATCCACAGTATCGCCTCTGCAATGGTTGGAGGAACCCAACAGGATTGTTATTTTACCTACCAAACTAATGCCCTCGTAGGCAAATATTGCTGTGCCAAAGTAGAGTGGGAGCTGCTCAAAGGAAGAGAAGGCTGGCCTGGACTCCACACTAGGCAGACCCTGAACAATGTAGACGAAGATGATGGTGAGGCCGGTGATGGTGAGGAGGTTGGCGAAGGCGGAGAAGGGAGCGAGGGCTCGGAGATTCTTCACGAATGTGTACGGCACGAGTAGCACCATGACGATCACCTCGTACACTCGAATGTTGGGGTCCTCCGGGTGGAAGTGGTGAATTACCTGTACAACACACACAATAGTTATAACCAGGTGTCGCATCATTCGTGTCTTAACACAGAAACTTAACATTACTACCTTTGACTTTCATTCTTATTTTCAAGACTGGGATACGATGACATGCATCAACCAAGTCAACGAGTCTGACCACCCGATCCCATTAGTCGCCTCTTACGACAAGCATATTCACCTTTTATGGTAAGCATGGGTTGCTGAAGACCTATTTGACCCCGGATCTTAAAACTGTCCTGCATCACCTTGTCTGGATGCATTGTTCACATACGACTTTCATTCTTATTTTTCAACACTGCCCTTGAAATAAACATTTTTCGGCCATTACAATATACTGCATAAACGTATATCCCCGGGCTATAAAAGAAATATATCCCGAGATGCCGAAGCACCAACAATTCTGAAACTAAAAGCGTGGAGTTATCAGCTGAACATTCTCTTGTGACATTATGTCATTCTGAATCATGTATGGAATATGAGAGTTCAGTTTAATGCCACTTTGAACAATATCTGTGACCCACCAGGACAAAAGGGACCTGATGGCTGCTAGGACACAATTGTGCTGTGACGTCAAAGAAAAACGTTTGACGTCAACTTACTTCAATAGAAATCGCCATTTGTTCTGACTGCACAAAAATATAGTATTTTCTCTATTTAGTTTGTAATGTAATAAAAACATTACTTCAAAACATTTCAGCATACATGTCTAGTTTCAATTAATCAGACATTATAAATTATAGGTGCATTCATTACATAAACAGTTATTATTCTGAAAACAAGTCTTTGCGGGAAATGAGTCCCAATGTTTGATGCCATGCATCATTGTAATAAATAGGAATTAGCTCCAATATACAATACGAAGACGGACTCTCCCTTTTTCAACCTGATGCTGTACATTTATCTGTTTCAGCGGGCGATGTAACATGTTACACTACCTGTTGTATTGTGGTGGCGACGAAGACAATATAGACGGAACAGAAGCCAAACTGGGTCAGCATGAGCATGGTGTTGACAAGGTATCTGAAACACAACACTGTCCTGTTTGTTTGTTTGCTTGTTTGTTGTTTAACACCGCACCCATCAATATTCCAGCTATATCATGGCGGTCTGTAAATAATCGAGTCTGGACTAGGCAATCCTGTGACTGACAGCATGAGCATCGATGCATTCAATTTGGATAATATGACATGCATGAACCAAGTCAGCAAGCCTGACCACCCAATCCCATTACTCGCTTTTTACGGCAAGCATAAAAGGCTTGAATACATAGAGATTCTCACCATTGTGTCTTTTCATATCCAATATATCAACACAAAAGTTGAAATAATCTCTGAGGCTTGCTGAGGAGTTTCAGACTTTTATCAGCTTGTGTTGATATTTTTGACATGAAAAGACAATGAAGAGATTCTATTTATCATTCAACATCATCCTTCAAACTTTCTCAGTTTGTAAACAGTGATACCCAGTGTCCTCAGTGTAAGCAGTAAAGGTGACCAGCTTCAGGGGCACAGAGATTACTGATGTCATTTCAGTGTGATCTCAAAGCAACCAATGATGTCACAATCGTCTGCAAAGCAATGTGGTGCAAATTCATTGCTAGGAGACATCACTGTATCTCTCACCCCTGGGGAAGTCCATTTGGGATGGTAACGAGCTTCACATTACATTATATAGAGGATATTCCATGTCTCCTGTGAAATATCTCCTTTCCCCCATCAACAGAGGAGAGAAACAGGATATTTCACAAGACACATGGAATATCCTATTTATCATATGGTACCGTAGTCCCAAGTTTGCAAAATCTTAAAAAAAATAAATTTAAGTAATAAAAAATGCTGATCAAGTAACAAAAATGGCGCTTTGCAACACAAACAGTCTCAATTGATGAGATAAATAAGAAAATTACAGTTAATAACGAAACATTTTCAAGAGAATAGAAATAAGCCAGAAGCAATATCAATTATTTTTCCTTGTCAGTGTGGAACTAACGTAAAACAGAAGTCAACAGTTTGTGTACCGGAGAGACATTTATGATAAAGGGAGACAATTTGCGGGGAGCTAGCTCTTGAATGACAATAGTTCCAGCAAAGTGTGATGTTCACTGCAGTGAAAGTATCACTTTTCTAAACTCTGTCTTCCACACTGAGGTATATAATAAAAGCTGTGTAAGCTCAGTCACCTTTCTTCCACTGGACTCACTCACCTGGAGGCTGTGGAAAACCTACGAAGTCGTTGTGGTCCAGTTTTAAGGCAAATCTCGGCGACATCTGCATAATCTAATGCTATACTTGATGTTCTGAAAAGTAACAAAAACTGTCAACTCTGAATAAACTTGAGTGTGTGAGTGAGTTGGGTTTAATGCCACTTTGAACTTTATTTCAGTTAAATCATGACATGTGAATTGGGTTTTAACGCTGCTTTTAACAGTATTCCAGTTGTATCGCGGCGTGTCAGCTTAATGTGGGAGGAAAGCCCAAAGTGATGCAGGTCTCAGACGTTTACCACTTTGGTGAAACCCACGAGCACGGGTACGGTGCTGACAAATCTACCAACATAATCGGGGTGAACAGGGATTCGAACCCACAATCATAGGTTTGTGGCGAGCCCAAGGGATGCAACTCTGTACAGCAAATTGCGGCGCCTCAGACGACTGGGCCACCCGTGCCCCCTCATGACATGTGAGCTCAATCTGGGAGGAAAGCCTGAAGTGATACAGGTCTCATGTGTTGTCACTTTGATGAAACTGAAAAGCATGGGTGTGGTGCTGACAAACCTAGAAACATGACCAGGGCGAACCCATGATCACAGGTTTCTGTCACACTTAAGCAACACAACGTTTCACAGCTAACTAAGGCCCCTTAGATCATGTAGATGACTAGGCTACTCATAGTGTGTGGTACATAGCAACATAACACAACAGATATTTTTGTATATGGCAACGTAAATAAAAATGCTTTTTGAATAAGGCAACTTATGCAATAGATTTTTGTATACAGCAACAAAACGCAATAGTTTGTTGAACATATCAATAATGTATAACAATAGAGGGTGATATATATCAATATTACATTATATACACTGGTATATACAGACATAACTATTGTGGTATACCGACATGACACAATATACTGTGGTATATACCAACACATCACAATATACTGTGGTATATATACCAACACAACACAATATACTGTGGTATATACCAACACAACACAATATACTGTGGTATATACCAACACAACACAATATACTGTGGTATATATCAACACAACACAATATACTGTGGTATATACCAACACAACACAATATACTGTGGTTTATACCAACACAACACAATATACTGTGGTATATACCAACACAACACAATATACTGTGGTATATACCAATACAACACAATATACTGTGGTATATACCAACACAACACAATATACTGTGGTATATATCAACACCACAACACAGTGGTATATACCAACACAACACAATATACTGTGATATATATCAACACCACAACACAGTGGTATATACCAACACAACACAATACACTGTTGTACACATCACACAACATGATGCAGTATACACCTGTTTATACAACAAGCCAGCATCTCTAAACACTTGTGTTGGCTCCTCACCTGCGACAGAGGAGATGGCTGCACTTGACCAGCAGATGCATACAGTGGATGGCCACCACCCCAATCAGCAGGAGGCCAATTGTCCCCGTCTACAACACAATCAAGAGATGCCATTCAAATTACAGGAGGAATATCATATTTATCAAAATGTCAAGAGAACTTGTGGATGTCAGCTTCTTTATTATGAGGAACACAACATTTCGGAGTAGGAGTAACTACAGTGATCGCTCGCTATTGCGCTCTTCGATAAAGCGCTACTTCGGTTATTACGCGCGGTAACGCATGGCTCCCAAAATTTATGTACACTTTTAATACTGAGAGTTTTACACAGACATGATTGTATTGTTGTTCGTTGTTTATTTGCACATAACGCTTCTCATTGCATAATCAACGGTTTATCGCTGAATGGAGTTCTAATAATCTGTTTGAAAATATCCGCGGCAAGTCCCGGAAATACGATTGTTCAACTAGTTAACTTTTCACACTATACATCCTTTGATCTTAGAAGCGCATGCATGCAATAAAAGAGAACCACAAGTGAAGTTTATATTCTTAATTAGTGGGCAATCCAATTTAAGGCTAAACTGTCACACAAATGTAGTTGCTGTCACAACACGGCGGTCATTCATTTCGTAATCGCGCTTTCGTAACATCGCCTGTTTTTTCCCCGTAGTTATAACAAGCGATTTCATTGGATTAAAATTTGTTTCTAATGACGCTTTCTTGCCGAAATCTGCTACAAGTTTCGTGATTGGTCAATTTTGAGCACGTGACCTCAGGCAGCCAATCAAGCTTTGATACAAAGCTCGTGTTTGATAAATTTCAGAAGTTAGCGAAAGATTTTTTGTTAAATCGTGTTATTCTGAACGTTTTAAGCAGGAAATCACGATATATATTAAAAATATGGAACTTCGCGAATGTATCGTGCTAGGTTACGAGCTGTGACAAAGATTTTTCATGCATATATTTTTGCATTAAACGTTGTGTCCGAGCCGGGAATTCAAGGCGACGAAAGCCGAGATGTCATTTGACTTACATTACACGCGATCGCACAAAACGATGGAAATAATAACTTAGATGTAAGTTTGATTACTTTTAGATATATTTTTGTTGATTTTATTTATCACTTTGTATAATATATTTAAAGATTTGCTTAAAATAGTCTATATTTTGCTCTTTGACATGTTCGATGCGGACCCGTTGTCGAAATGTGTGTCCGAGAATTTTATTTTCAATAACATCGCGGGAAATAGTGAATAATTTTTTAATTTATTGATAAAAAATGATAAATTAGAATGGAATACGTATTTCAGACATTGTGAAATATGACAGATTTAATAAATGAATGATATTACAGGTAGATCTAGGTCCATAAAAATATATACTATTTTGACGTGACGTGAGATAAACACATAGGCCTATTGATGATTTGAGATTTGCCGAGCGCGCTCCCCCGCCTCGGCTTCGGTTAAACGGCTCATCGTCTATAACGCCCACCAATTATTTGGACCCCATTGGTAGCGCAATAGCGAGCGATCACTGTATATACATGATATACTCAGAAACATTGTGTTCCTCATAATAAAGAAGTTGACATCCATAAATTCTGTTCCATAGGCAAAAAAAATACTGTGTCCAGAGGGACACACAATGATATTCATTGTACTGACATCAGGAGCATTTCACCCATCAATTACAACCACTATCCACATGATCATTGATTCATTCCAGGTTCTGAAGTAATTATCAAAGGTACAGTACACTACACCATTTCATTACTTTACAGGACCCTCATATTGCTTGTAAGAACCCTTGAAATTATATAGGGTCCCATCGATCCCACCTTCTGTAAGTAAAAAAAAACCTGAAAGTGTAAACTATATAAACCTGATTGCATCTCATCCTATTCATCAATGTGTGTGACAACCTACCCACAATCCTGCATTCTTCACAGCGATCGGCATGGCCAGGATTCCTGTCCCGATGTTTCCCTTGAGGAGATGCATGAGGCTCTGCAAGTTGCTGGAGAGAGAGAAACACATTCATCACACACACAACACTGAATGTCCGACTGGAGTGAAACAGGGATGTGTCATCAGTCCTATACTGTTTCCATATTTATTAAGGAACTAGCTGCTGATCAAATGTTGTCCAGTCTTACATTAATTTGATCAAATGGGTACTTTGGGATGACGTTTTCTGTCAAAGCTAAAAGTTCAGCATCAAGAACTATATTATATGTGTCATTATCACAACAGTTAGTTGGTACCATTTGTCAAAGCATCCAGTCCTCTCATTAACAATCCATTCAGACCCTGCTTGACTTGTGTATTGGAAACATGTGACTCAAGTTGACACTAGTTACACTAACACTCAGACATATCTGTTCTTTTGTGATTTATTATTCAGATTTAGGACACGACGATTTGAACTCGAAGGTGCAGCCACTTTTTCAACATGTGCTTCTCTTAACAGGAAGTCATGTGACTAGACTAGACCTCCTTACCATTTCATTAGCAGTCATGATGTAGGGCCACTGCCCAAACTGCCAGTAGGGGTGTCACGATAAATCGAAATATCGATATATTGCTATTGGTAAGCACTTAAAGACAATAAATCGATTGTTAAATCAGTTTTTGATCAATAGTTTTGATTGTATTTACCATATCAATAAAATACAAGCGATGCTGTTCACATTTGTTTTTCTACTGATCATGAGTGGTAGTAATTGACACATGGTAATGTGGAAGTTTCTTTTTCTTAAATTATTAGGTTAAAGAAAAAACAAATCAGTCATATCTCAAACTTTACTTTTTATTTGTTGTTATGGTTATCACATTCAAAAGAAACTTCAGTTCCAAGGTTTAATTCAACTCTAAAATCCATCTAAAATGATAAACTGAAAACTATCGATATTTATCGCAATAGTTGCTTAAAATATCAATAGTTATCGCAATAGTTTCTTTCAATATCAATAGTTATAGCAATAGTGATTTCCAGACCAATAGTCACCCCTAACTGTCAGTAATATTTATAACTCAATATACACCTTTGTACATGAGCCACTATTAAACAGAAACGTTTATTTCATAGCTTGGAATGCTTACTAAATATACAGTATTGACAGCTACAGTTATCTGCATTATCTGAAATACATAACTGTCTGCATTTAATCCTAGGTATGTTATAAATATATCAGCACCAGCTGAGCCAATAAAAGCTTTAGTTGTAGTTTAGACAGACAGGTTTTACTACACAAGTGAGAATGGTGAGTGAGGGATTGCTGATTAGAACCAAGTCTGGACCATGCACTCCAGGAATTGCATGAGCAACATTCCACACTGTCAGCCGGCCACACATTTGTAAACACCCAATCATTCTTCAGCTTTTACGTTTGTTCGTTTGTTTGTTTGTTGTCTAAAGCCGCTATATGAAGATGGTCTGTAAATAATAGTCTGGACCAGACAATCCAGTGATTGACATCATGAGCATTGATCAACGCAATTGGGATACAATAACATGCATCAACCAAGTCAGCGAGCCTGACCACCCGATCCAGTTAGTCGCCTCTTACGACAAGCATAGTTGCCTTTTATGACAGGCATGGGTTGCTGAAGACCTATTCTACCCCGGAACTTCACGGGTTCAGCTTTAATGACAAGCATGTAGGCTAACGGTGAGGTGAGGTGAGGTGAGGTGAAATGTGGTTTAACGTCGCGTCCAAGATTATTGCACTTATATAGTGACGTGCATGTACGTGTGTGTGTTTGTGTGGCTGCTTGTACTAGTCCGGACTGATGCCGATTTATAGTGCTAGCTCACTGAGATACCATGCCGCAGTTTAACATGAATACCCCACTCAGACACAGTATACTGACTCCGAGCCGACCAGTCCTTGTTTTAGCCCCTTAATGCCGAGCGGTAGACAGGGTAACAACAAGTACCATCTTTTAACGTCTTTTGGTATGACACGGCCGGGGATCGAACCCCGGACATTCCGCTCTCCCGGCGGACGCTCTCCCACTAGACCATGGAGGCGGTCATGTAGGCTAACGAAGCACTGGGGACCTTTCCTGCACAGAATGCAGGGCATGTGGTGGCACAAGGTCCTGTGTACAGCGCACAGGTCACAAATCAACATTGGTTGTGGAGAGTCCTTGGATGGGTCCCTGTGTGTGGCAACGGCTCCTGAGAGTTTCCATGGCTTCAGTCCTGCCCACACTGAACATGTGGTGTCTCCATGGGCAAATGACTCGGTTAGAAAATGCCTCTGTTCACCCAGCAATGAATGGGTACCCGGTAGGATGAGATGGTAATGTGAATGTTAACTTTCTAGCTCCTCAGAGGCAACTTGTGTTGTATACTCCCCAGGGAGCTAAGATTATCATTATTAAATAAGACGTGGTTACCACCGTGATATGAACTGCACCCACAGGATGCCATCAACCACAAATTTCAGTATCACATTCAACACGTAGTCATCCCACAGTTAGCAATTGTCAGCACTGTAATGTTTCCTCTTGACAAAACCACATTAGTAGAGCAGTTGAACGCAATAGCTGAATTATTTGTTTGATGTTTTATAAAACACATATTTCCACTTCCTCTTCAACAGTTTCACATGTTATGACTTTCCCCAACTCTTCTAACAATAATTCACTTATATTATGTCATGTCTGCTCCATGTGAAGGGAAAGTCATTTACCACCCTGGTGAAACCAAACAGAACAGTATCGGTGCTGACACAAAAACAGAATAATAATCAGGGGAATTCTGGAATTTTAACCCATGATCATAGCATTCTGGCACAGTTAAGGGATGCAACTCTGCACAGCAAATTACAGTCAGAAAACTAGGCGTTCTGGGTAAAGCTGGGATGGGTAAGTCGGGTACTCGGGTCGGGTGGGTCCTGAGTAGGACCCGGGTACCCACAGGACTACCCAGACCCGTGGTTAGTCACGTGATATATTGTTTAATGACAAAAACTCACAATAGCTCAGTGGTTACACTACAAGCCGCTAATGTTCGCATTTCTTTCTGACGAGGCACACATTCCTTTTGACTTGTATATGTTTGAGTAAAGATAAATCTTTAGTCAACTTCATTGAACGCATTATCTAATTAGTTTTAGCCAAGGCTGCAGTAAAACAATTACCAATCTGACATTTTGTTCCCTACTCTTGAGACTTGCAGTGGGTATCCGGGTAGGGTCGGGTAATAGAGGGTGGGGTACCCGGGTAGTAAATTTGGACTCGTCCCAGCCCTAGTTCTGGGCCACTCCTAGCATCTGCTGTACTGAACAAGAAGTGGACCTAATGCTTCAGTATGGTACAGCATACTGGTCACTGATCCTGAGATCATGGAGATTGAAACAATGAATATTGTGAAACATCATTTTTCATCCGATTTTGTTTTTTGTTTATTGTTTTGTCTTTCATACTGTAAGTAGTCATTCACATTTCACATCTGTTGCAAGATTACTGTCAACCACTGCTTTGTATCACAATAAATTTAATCCCCGAATAATCACGTGAATAATTTCCTTAAGATTTATTCTATATCTCATGGAGACATTGTATCTCTTCAAAAAACACTCTCAGATTCACTCTCAATGTATTGTGTGGTTTTGTGCCAAATATCTTTGTATATTACCCAGTAGTGAGTGAGTAAGGTTTAACGCAGCTTTGAACATTATTCCAGTTATATCACGGCATTTATATACCCAGTAGGGAATGGATATGGGAACTAATCTACTTACAGTAGACCTGGGTACAGTGATCAACTTACAGTAGACCTGGGTACAGTGATCAACTTACAGTAGACCTGGGTACAGTGATCAACTTACAGTAGACCTGGGTACAGTGATCAACTTACAGTAGACCTGGGTACAGTGATCAACTTACAGTAGACCCTGGTACAGTGATCAACTTACAGTAGACCTGGGTACGGTGATCAACTTACAGTAGATCTGGGTTCAGTGATCAACTTACAGTAGACCTGGGTACAGTGATCAACTTACAGTAGACCTGGGTACAGTGATCAACTTACAGTAGACCCTGGTACAGTGATCAACTTACAGTAGACCTGGGTACAGTGATCAACTTACAGTAGATCTGGGTTCAGTGATCAACTTACAGTAGACCTGGGTACAGTGATCAACTTACAGTAGACCTGGGTACAGTGATCAACTTACAGTAGATCTGGGTTCAGTGATCAACTTACAGTAGACCTGGGTACAGTGATCAACTTACAGTAGACCTGGGTACAGTGATCAACTTACAATAGATCTTGGTACAGTGATCAACTTACAGTAGACCTGGGTACAGTGATCAACTTACAGTAGACCTGGGTACAGTGATCAACTTACAGTAGACCTGGGTACAGTGATCAAGGTAGAGTTGGTCCCAAAAATCATATGCTTGTCATTAAAGGCAACTGAAATAGATTGGACGATCAAGCTCAGTGATGGCAAGTCACAGAACCCAAACAGCATGGGTATGCTCACAACATCGACCACTGGTTTGCCTGGCCCAGGCCTGATTATTTCCAGACTGCTGTGATAGAGAAGCAAAATATTGTCGACTGAGGAGTTGAACAACATTCACTCAGTTACTCATTATCCTGTGGCTAGTTCTACTCAAGTCTCCAATCTTGTCTCTCTGGTCAGATACATCATTGTGTTATTCTTTGTACTGGCTCCAGCAGAGATTTAGAAAAGATGCTACAGTTACACCCAATACTCAGCTCTTACAACAAGCCAGCATTAGAAAGTGCCACTACTCCTGTAGTCCTTGCCGAACTGCCCAATAGATAAGGCATCATAAGGTCTAGAAGACATTTGCCATTTTGAACGGCTATATGATATCATTATAAGGACTAGTGGACTAAAAATGTTAGTTTCTACCATTGGAAACATGGGCCGCTGGGTAATCTCCACAGGGAGACAAGCATTGGGTGCTGGAGACCTATTCTGACACAGAATCTCCACGGGGAGACAAGCATGGGATGCTGGAGACCTATTCTGACACAGAATCTCCACGGGGAGACAAGCATGGGATGCTGGAGACCTATTCTGACACAAAATCTCCACGGGGAGACAAGCATGGGATGCTGGAGACCTATTCTGACACAGAATCCCCACGGGGAGACAAGCATGGGATGCTGGAGACCTATTCTGACACAGAATCTCCACGGAGAGACAAGCATGGTATGCTGGAGACCTATTCTGACACAGAATCCCCACGGGGAGACAAGCATGGGATGCTGGAGACCTATTCTGACACAGAATCTCCACAGGGAGACAAGCATGGGATGCTGGAGACCTATTCTGACACAGAATCTCCACGGGGAGACAAGCATGGGATGCTGGAGACCTATTCTGACACAGAATCTTTACAGGGAGACAAGCATGGGATGCTGGAAACCTATTCTGACACAGAATCCCCACAGGGAGACAAGCATGTGATGCTGGAGACCTATTCTGACACAGAATCCCCACAGGGAGACAAGCATGGGATGCTGGAGACCTATTCTGACACAGATTCTCTGCAGGGAGACAAGCATTGGGTGCTGGAGACCTATTCTGACACAGAATCCCCACAGGGAGACAAGCATGGGATGCTGGAGACCTATTCTGACACAGAATCTCTACAGGGAGACAAACATGGGATGCTGGAGACCTATTCTGACACAGAATCTCCACAGGGAGACAAGCATGGGATGCTGGAGACCTATTCTGACACAGAATCCCCACGGGGAGACAAGCATGGGATGCTGGAGACCTATTCTGACACAGAATCTCCACGGGGAGACAAGCATGTGATGCTGGAGACCTATTCTGACACAGAATCCCCACGGGGAGACAAGCACTGGGTGCTGGAGACCTATTCTGACACAGAATCTCCACAGGGAGACAAGCATGGGATGCTGGAGACCTATTCTGACACAGAATCCCCACAGGGAGACAAGCATTGGGTGCTGGAGACCTATTCTGACACAGAATCCCCACAGGGAGACAAGCATGGGATGCTGGAGACCTATTCTGACACAGAATCTCCACAGGGAGACAAGCATTGGATGCTGGAGACCTATTCTGACACAGAATCCCTACAGGGAGACAAGCATGGGATGCTGGAGACCTATTCTGACACAGAATCCCCACGGGGAGACAAGCATTGGGTGCTGGGGACCTATTCTGACACAGAATCTCCACGGGGAGACAAGCATGTGATGCTGGAGACCTATTCTGACACAGAATCTCCACGGAGAGACAAGCATGGGGTTCTGCTGACCTTTATGTGTTATACTTATGAGGGAAGTCTGTGATTACATCATTACACTTAAGCTCAGGACAGATCGGTGTCAGCTATCTGGCTCTTAACCTTTGACTTGAAAGCAGCATAACAGTCTACAAAACGGAAACTGGTGAATCAGTCAATGATGCACATACAGGTCCAACAGTCTAGGTCACATAATTCACTTATCTCACTTGATAGATGTTTCCCATTATGGGCCTCATTCATCCAGTGAGTTGGTTACAATCTCTAATGGTGCTAATTATATCTAACATATAACATGCCTCTTTCTTCGAAAATGGAAACACGTTACAAATATTGTTCAAATGTAGGATGTTTTCAAGCAAGTTACCAGTAAACCTCAAAATAAATACATTGAAGCCAGGGTTGACAATACTGACCCTATCCAACATGTCCACAACTCATTTTAGACAGGGGCGTCAGGTAAAACAACTAGACAACAGGACAGTTATCCCTCTAGGTTACTACTAGTGCCATAAACTGTCAACAGAGCTCCAGATAGGTCATGTAAAATATGCAAAATATATAACCATTATCCAATTACGTTTGAGTTGCTGGCATAAAAATATGCATGAAGTTTATTTGAATAAACTATCTCTTAACATCTTTTGTAGTCCTGCACCATGACCGTGGAATAAATTTATTTTATGAAAAAATAATAATCTAGAAATGCATACAAAAGCAAGTCTAGCCAGCTCAAGCTAGCTCTATTCCACATCTGAAATCAGCATAGGGAATCTTTTTCATTTTTATAGAGTCAAGAAGGATATTGTGTAATATAAGATTTCAGAGACTAAATGTTAGTCTACATCTTTTGGTATGACACGGCCGGGATCGACCTCCAGACATCCCGCTCCCCGGGCAGAGGCTCTACTAAACCACGGAGGCGGTCTTACTAGAACTAGAAGTATCCTATGGAAACTGACACTGATGCGTTTCCAGTCCCTCCTCATGACAGGGATCCAGGCACCTGCCCCGAAATCTTGGAGACCAACACAAACAAACTCTCAGTCAATTATGCAGCTTGACCAGGACAACTGATGCACCTGGACCAATGGAATGATCATGCCTCGTGTTCATTAAGTTGGATTAAACAATAACGATCTTAGAAATACTTTCAATACTCTTAATGCAGACCACAGGACATCCATGATGATCACTGACCATCTCTCTCTCATGTACATCATGGTACATGGTGGACTGTGCTAATGCCTACCAAGTTTAATAAACAATATCAGGCACCAGTGGGTTTCTCAATTACTACTTTCAACCTTGAAATAAACTGTATTTTATTATCAATATTATGACACTCAATTGGTTTAGGATGTTGTTTGCAACACTGGCGGAAACGGATCTTACCTTGTGGCGTTTTCCATCATCACTTGACTGTTTTCAACACTGCCAGAAACGGATCTTACCTTGTGGCGTTTTCCATCATTGCTCGACTGTCCTCAACTGGAATTTGAGACTGCACTTGGTAGGAATGGCTCTCGACTTCGACTTGAATGACAGGTAGAGCTGGGTCATTTGACGGGGTCCTGCCAATGATGGGGGGCGGTGGAACAGCAGAAGCATTGCCAGACAGCTTCACATTCTCCTTCTTAGCATCCAGCAGCAGGGGCGTGGTCTCCCGACACGCTGGCGCGCCTGTCTCCATTTTAATGGTGGACAACTCTCTCGCCTCACTCTGAAAACAAAGCACAAAACATGCAAAAGTGGAAATGACTCAAATTCTTCATGCTACTATTTTAGGGTGATTATTTGGGCTATTTTCACCATTAAGACACTATTGAACATAACCTAAACATGTTAAAGGCTTGATATTATCTTTATTAACATGATCAATGTAACTGACTGAATAAAGTATTCATTTCTTGTTCTGTTTCATTGTCTTTTTCAAAGAGCAATATTTCATCAACATGCTCCAGTAACCACATAACTACTGATTGTTATGCATACTCTCAACAATATCACCAGTGGTTTTACATTCCTATTGTATCGTACTACTCTAGGGCAAACAATAGCAAAAAATTGATAGTTGGCTACATTGTTACACTCCTACTGTATTTCACCTGTTTTTGTCTGGTAAAATCCAAGTGGACTAGGAAACATAGCAACAGCTATTAGGTGTTGGGACCAGGGAGCTGATAGAGCTCTAGCACCCTGTGTATGTACATGTATAAATAATGGGAGGAATGGTGGATCAGGTTTGCAATTGACGAAAAGGTGAGTTAACCAATATCTTACCAAACATGAGTCCTAAAAGGAAATTGTTATTTGGATTTTTAATTTTTTTTTAAAAGATAATTAAAATATGAATGTAACTTTAACGATGATTATGGGGACAAAAATCAATTTCAAAATTGAGTACATTGGCTGCAGACGAGTAGGAGAAGAAAGAGTAGAAGCATATTTCTCCACATCGTCTGTAGCATTGTACATGGCGTAGTTGAATGCCAGTCTATCACTTCAGCTTCCTATAGGCCTTGTTGATCTTGAGCCAAAAACGTTAACATGTAAATAGTTAAAATTTGGATGAAATTGGATTTGTTCATATTTGTTACAAAATTACTAACATGACTAACAAAAAAGTCAAATGACTCGAACAAAACATGATATCTCTCTCAGAAGGAACAAGTACGACAAACCCTTCAGCTTCATCCGTGTTGGAAGTTTGGAGGAGATCATAACATCTAGGGCGCAGAATGTATTTTCCTGGCATTTAAGTCCACGGTTCAAGTGTAAAAATTAAATAAAGGTTCATATTAACTATATACTACAACAAAATATCCCTACAATAACCATGATAACAGAGAAATGACAACTGATGTAAATATGGCTAACCTCTTCTACCTCTGCTAACAAGTTCAGGCGTCAACATGGTGGTTAAATCAGGTAAAGGTGGCTGATATCACCGTGATTAGTGGACCTGAATAGCGCCAGGGACACATAGGCTGTGATTATCTAAATAACTAAACTATTGAATCAATAAGAAAATGTATTACTTTCCTTAAAGGCAAATGTTTCACAGATACCACATTCACCGTAATAAGAGCCCAAGGCGCTCAGTAAATTTACAAAAGGGCGCAGGTTACAGCCATTCACAAGTTAAACATGCTGTCAGTGATTGAGCAATAGTGAACAAATAAAGTTCAAAATGACAATCTAACTAAATGTTTTGATAGCAGTTACCAGGTGATATTATCTTAACTGCTGTCATGTACATCATCTGCACTGTAACAATAAGGACTGCCATGTCAATTTCCAGTCTTAGTTGGGGGCTCTTGTAAATATTACTTACACATTGGTCCAGATTAGTTGGGGTATTTATTGGAGCACAGGGTTTCAGTTTGTTTGATTGTTGTTTAACGCCGCACACAGCAATATTCCAGCTATATGAGGGCGGTCTGTAAATAATCGAATCTGGACCAGACAATCCAGTGATTGACATCATGAGCATTGATCCACACATTTGATATATGATGATATGCATCAACTAAGTCAGCGAGCCTGTAGCACAGTGAATACGGAGAATATGGTACATTATATGGCGGTCGTGCATTACTGCTCCTATCGTGAATTCAATACTGATATAATCATAATAATATTATCGAGCAAGCCAGCAACGTTTAATGAAAATGCCACCATATTGAAATATATAGATAAATGCAGAAATGTTTCCATCTTTTATGGCAATTATTGGCATATGATGTACATTAAGGAAAATATAAATAGTTTCCCTTTTCATTCCACTAAAATGGCATGTAAAACACAATGAGCATGAGCATGATGAGGAGGAAATTCATGCATGAACAACTGATGGTTTTCATCACATCTTTGTTCATTGTAAACATGGATCTGTACACGTAGGCTTACACACAATGAGTTATATATCCTACAAAGGTTTAGTTCTCATAATAAGAGTGTGTGAGAATGGTTTTACAACACTTTTAGCTATATTCCAGCAATATCATGGTGGGGGGATACCAGAAATGGGTTTCACGCATTGTACCCATGTGGGGAATCAAAACCGGGTCTTGGGTTGAGAGCAAACGCTTTAACCACTAGGCTACCACCCACCGCCCCTCTCTCATAATAATAAGTATGCTATGTGTGTGTAGAGAGGCAATACTGGGCTGTGAGAGCTAATTGTTTCCTATATTCAAGTAGATCTAAATGGCAATCAGAACCTCAGACAAATTTACAGATGCGATGAAATGATTTGCATATTTGCAGGGTTTTAGTTAGTAGAGGTGAGGTTAAATAGATTTTAACATCGCGTTCCCCATTCTTGCTTTTATATACCGACGTGCATGCATGTGTGTGTGTGGCTGCTTGCACTAGTCCGGAATAATGTGGTTTAAGAATGTCTTAAAACGAGTCTTACCCAGCGAAGTGCATCAAATCACTTGAGCATCTTGAGTAAAAACATGGAAAGATTTGCAAAATATCTGTCGACACCCAGTTGGAGGTTCACATGCAAATACTGCAGTCGACGAAAATCTACACGTTGAAATCCATGTTGATAACGAACCGGATGTCCAGTTCATTACCCAATTTTGAAAGAATTATGCGTGGACTTGTTTGTCCAGCCAAAACATAACTCTGGAATTACCTGTAAATATGCCAGCGAGCAAGGTGAGTTTGCAGGTAATAAACAGGTCAGACACAACTCTACATGGGTATCTCTCAAACTTATACTCTAGTTAGACCCCTCTGTGGCATCTTAGGAGGTATTTCAGTTAACCAAATACTGTCATACTCTATTTGCCCCCTCTTGACGAAATAAAAGGGGCATAAGTCATGTTAATATTTCAACAGATATTAAAAGCAGTACTTACCAACTACCAGCAAAAAATCACAACTAAAAACTTACATTTTGCATGAGTTTCCTAGTGACAATACTACAGTGCATAGACTCGTTACTTGAGACGACGATCCTTTGCAAATAGGTGACAGTGAAACAGTTTGATTTGATAGAGGTTCCAATAAATCCAATGTATCTGCAAGTTTGTCAGACCAAAGAATCACTTTTCCTTAAAAAGGTTGTGAAATACACATGATTATCCCGAGGTCTGATTCAAGGATATCTGCGAGGCCCTGCTGAACTGGTTCCATAGTAGCAAACCTAGGGAACTGCCTTGTACATGTATTCAGAGCATCAGATTCAAAATGCTATAAATGACATTCTGTCACAGTAGAATCAATTGAATCCAACATATGGTGGTTATCTCCTGTGTGGACTATTGGATAACCAACAATTGGGTGGTTATATATACATGATATAATGGCCAGCTGCAGGAGAGATCGGAAATGATTCGCTGATAGTGGGAATTGAGTGTTTCTAATTTCCAACGTCTCTACTGACTGGGCTAAACATCAATTATGGCGAAATACTTCACGTTAGTTTGAGAAAGCTGAGTGATACCAATACAATAAAATAAGTTCACAATGTTAAAGAGAGTGTATTCCATTTCAAACATATTTCTAATATTTAAAGGGAAACAACACTCCAACTTTGAAAGTATTGAAATATGGATCGGCTTTTTCTTCGCAGATTCAAAAATTATTATGGACTGGTTTGACGTGTGAGGCACAATTCTCGCCGCGCTGCACAAAATGACATCTATCAGAGGATCAAGCATGAGAAGCCGTATTATCATAACAAAGGATATACAATAGAGAGCTGAAGCCAAACTGAACCTTTTTGTTGTTGGTTAATGCACACCCGACTTGAAAGGGGGGAAGCTGATCGGTCAACCTCATATTACCGTATTCGACGTAATAAGCGCCCCGCTCTAATAAGCCCCACGGCGATATTTGCTTATATATTGGCAAGTGAACAATCCCAATTAGCACCCTTTCCGATTGATCAAAGTACACAAGACTTATTTATTCGTGTATATTACGCACTCGTGTGTTATATGCACCCTTAATTATGGGCAATTAAATTCTGGAAAAATATATCTGTCGTATATAAACAGTTCAGGCCGTCAGCATAAACCACGAAATTTATCTTTCAACTCTGTTTTTTCCATCAAAATAATATTCTAATAAGAGCCCCCTATTTCTAATTTTGAGAGCGCCCTGGGCGCTTATTACGTCGAATACAGTATACACAATAGCAAACTACACAGTAGATCTTCACAGAATTCAGGTAAATGAACAGGTGATAACAAACTCGGTCAATAATATGTGAAATTTGAGATAAATAACCACTAGACAAGATGATTTATGCATTATATGCTCTGCTAGGCATTGGTTTACACGCAGAAATACAGATTACTGTTATATTTTCTCGTAAACTAGGCCAGAAATAGCAATCAGCTGTACGTACATTTTTTACCAATCTACCGGTGCTTCGGTTAAAAAAATACCCAATAATGTAACTTCAAAGAATCTTTGCGCAAAGATCCGATGAATTGTATCTGAAACTATTATTTTATCAGAAATAATATGTTTCAATCATGTCAATATCGAGATATTTTAGTTGCAGCTTTACCATGAAATAATAAGAACCATAAGCTTGGCACTATGGAACAACTGATTGCTTTTGCCTGATATGTGTTATGTATGGAACAATTTGATCAGTCACCATTGAGGCCTCCCACATTCTTGCTACAGCAAGTGAATGAAAACAAAATGAAATGTCGTAATTACAACCGACAAAAGTTATATGCTTATATCAAGCAATTTCCTTGGTTGCGGAAAGTTTCCGTCAAAATCCACATAAATGAATAATATCCAATATATATCTGAAGCTGTACAAAGAAACTGGTTCGATGTCACATGTCTTTGTCCAATATTTTGAAATATACATAGCATTTCCGGATATTATAACCCGTGTTCATCTCTCAACTGATCACGTAAAATTGTTTCGGGTGTTTCACATTGGTGTCAAGTCTCATTGGTCAGCTAAGATGGTACACATGACAACTATATTCATGAAATCCACTGAGTTAGTAAACATTGAGAAATCAATCAATGCATCATCGGCTAATCCTTTGAACACCCAGATATGGGTGTATTCTGTCTATATTAGTAAACCTGTGCAAGATTTCAGTAATTACTCAATAAACATATTATCGGTTAATCCTTTGATCAATGCTTTTTGCAACTCAACTGACAATTCTTCTCTTGCTGTAATGCCATGTGCATATTACATAACATGTAATACACTCACCACACCTGGATTTATAACCCAATCTTAGATTAAACAAGCATGAAATACTCACATCCCCCGCCAATATGACATGTCGGGTGTGTGCAATGCATTAGCTTCTGTGAACTATGTTCGCTGGGCCTTTTTGTAAAGAAATATAGTACGTTTTTCAAGATCTGTTCCGTAAACGAGGACTACCTCCATTTTCAGTCTAAATCAAAGTCGTTGCCATGGAAACTCGAAAAATAACTTTTAAAAAAAATCCAAAACTATCCAAAGGCACCAGTTCACCACTAGACCTATCAATGTGCAAAATATGGTGTAGAAAAATGGTACGGTTTTCAAGATCTGCTCTGGAAACGAGGACTACTGCCATTTTCAGTCTAAATCAAAGTCTGTGCCATGGAAACTAAAAAAATATTGTTTTTAAAAATGCCAAACTATCAAAAGGCACAAGTTCACCACTAGACCTATCTATGTGCCAAGTATGACTAAAGAAATATGGTACGGTTTTCAAGATCTGCTCTAGAAACGAGGACTACTGCCATTTTCAGTCTAAATCAAAGTCGGTGCCATGGAAACTAAAAAAATAACTTTTTTTAAAATCCCAAACTATCCAAAGGCACCAGATCACCACTAGACCTATCTATGTGCCAAGTATGGTGAAGAAATATGGTTTGGTTTTCAAGGTCTGCTCCGGAAACGAGGACTACCGCCATTTTCAGTCTAAATCAAAGTCGTTGCCATGGAAACTCGAAAAATAACTTTTTTTAAAATCCCAAACTATCAAAAGGCACCAGTTCACCACTAGATCTATCTATGTGCCAAGTTTGGTGAAAAAATATGGTACGGTTTTCAAGATCTGTTCCGGAAACGAGGACTACGCAATTTTCAGTCTAAATCAAAGTCGGTGCCATGGAAACTAACAAAATAACTTTTTTTAAAATCCCAAACTATCAAAAGGCACCAGTTCACCACTAGATCTATCTATGTGCCAAGTTTGGTGAAGAAATATGGTACGGTTTTCAAGATCTGCTCCGGAAACGAAATGTGACGGACGGACGGACGGAAGTACGGTCGGATGGAAGGACGGACGGACGGCACCCATTCCTATATCCCCCTTCCACTTCGTGGATGAGACTTGATTGGCTTCAGTTTCTACTCATATCACTGGAGTGAGTGAGTTCTTGTTTCACGTCCAGTCAGCAATATGCCAGCAACAGAGTCTTGGCCCGTCAAACCAGTGGCTGATGTCATGAGCATCATCCTTGGCCGGAGTGATGGCATTCCATCAACTGTCACCAAGCCTAACCACCCAACCATGTTAAACCCCTCTTGAAGCAGCAGAGCCAAGCATGGATGCTGACAGCTGGACAGTCATCTCATCCATAGAACCTAGCTTATAACTGGTCATAACTCAGTGTGCAACCAATTAGGCTGGATAATTTGCAGAACTCAGGCGAACTGCAATTGAATCATGGACGATCATCAACAGTTAACATGAATCACACCTGAGCATGTAATACATTATTGGTTATCCTGTCAGCGAGTGTTGATATATTTAATATCAATAGACACGAGGGTGAGACATCATCCAACATCATTCTACCAACTTTTTCAGTTTGTAGACAGTAATATTGTAATAAGCAGTGTCAGTAGCAGAGCCATTAGTGATGTCATTTGATTGTGACGTCTGCAAGGCATTGTGAGGCAATTTCATAGCAGCGATATCTACAATGTAGATATCGCTTGACCTCACCCAAGCCATATCTCCTGTGGGATCCAGTTTTGGATGATAAAGCCATTTCACAGCCAATCAGAGTCATTGCACAGTTATTTCAGTCATTGCACAGTTATTTCAGTCATTGCACAGTTATTTCAGTCATTGCACAGTTATTTCAGTCATTGCACAGTTATTTCACAGTTTTATCACTGTTATTTCAGTCTTATCACTGTTAGTCATAGCCTTGATGATGTCGATCACCAAGACTACATTCAAAGCATACATGATAGGCATACAAGGCTGAAGATGAGGCTAGTGATGGGGAGATGGTCAAGGCTGAAGATGAGGACGCTAGTGATGGAGAGATGGTGAAGGCTGAAGATGAGGAGGCTAGTGATGGGGAGATGTTGAAGGCTGAAGATGAGGAGGCTAGTGATGGGGAGATGGTCAAGGCTGAAGATGAGGACGCTAGTGATGGAGAGATGGTGAAGGCTGAAGATGAGGAGGCTAGTGATGGAGAGATGGTGAAGGCTGAAGATGAGGAGGCTAGTGATGGGGTGATGGTGAAGGCTAAAGATGAGGAGGCTAGTGATTAAGAGAAGGAGAAGGCTGAAGATGAGGTGGCTAGTGATGGGGAGATGGTGAAGGCTGAAGATGAGGAGGCTAGTAATGGGGAGATGGTCAAGGCTGAAGATGAGGAGGCTAGTGATGGGGTGATGGTGAAGGCTGAAGATGAGGAGGCCAGTGATTGGGTGATGGTGAAGGCTGAAGATGAGGAGGCTAGCGATGGAGAGATGGTGAAGGCTGAAGATGAGGAGGCTAGTGATGGGGAGATGGTCAAGGCTGAAGATGAGGAGGCTAGCGATGGAGAGATGGTGAAGGCTGAAGATGAGGCTAGTGATGAAGGCTGAAGATGAGTCTATTGATAAAGAGATGGTGAAGGCTGAAGATGAGGAGGCTAGTGATGGGGAGATGGTCAAGGCTGAAGATGAAGAGGCTAGTGATGGGGAGATGGTCAAGGCTGAAGATGAGGAGGCTAGTAAAGGGGAGATGGTCAAGGCTGAAGATGAGGAGGCTAGTGATGGGGTGATGGTGAAGGCTGAAGATGAGGCTAGCGATGGAGAGATGGTGAAGGCTGAAGATGAGGAGGCTAGTGATGGGGAGATTGTCAAGGCTGAAGATGAGGAGGCTAGCAATGGAGAGATGGTGAAGGCTGAAGATGAGTCTATTGATTAAGAGATGGTGAAGGCTGAAGATGAGGAGGCTAGTGATAGGGAGATGGTGAAGGCTGAAGATGAAGAGGCTAGTGATGGGGAGATGGTCAAGGCTGAAGATGAGGAGGCTAGTGATGGGGAGATGGTGAAGGCTGAAGATGAAGAGGCTAGTGATGGGGAGATGGTCAAGGCTGAAAATGAGGAGGCTAGTGATGGAGAGATGGTTAAGGCTGAAGATGAGGAGGCTAGTGATGGGGAGATGGTGAAGGCTGAAGATGAGGCTAGCGATGGGGAGATGGTGAAGGCTGAAGATGAGGCTAGCGATGGAGAGATGGTGAAGGCTGAAGATGAGGAGGCTAGTGATGGGGAGATTGTCAAGGCTGAAGATGAGGAGGCTAGCAATGGAGAGATGATGAAGGCTGAAGATGAGGCTAGTGATGAAGGCTGAAGATGAGTCTATTGATTAAGAGATGGTGAAGGCTGAAGATGAGGAGGCTAGTGATAGGGAGTTGGTGAAGGCTGAAGATGAAGAGGCTAGTGATGGGGAGATGGTCAAGGCTGAAGATGAGGAGGCTAGTGATGGGGAGATGGTGAAGGCTGAAGATGAAGAGGCTAGTGATGGGGAGATGGTCAAGGCTGAAAATGAGGAGGCTAGTGATGGAGAGATGGTTAAGGCTGAAGATGAGGAGGCTAGTGATGGGGAGATGGTGAAGGCTGAAGATGAAGAGGCTAGTGATGGGGAGATGGTCAAGGCTGAAAATGAGGAGGCTAGTGATGGAGAGATGGTTAAGGCTGAAGATGAGGAGGCTAGTGATGGGGAGATGGTGAAGGCTGAAGATGAGGCTAGCGATGGGGAGATGGTGAAGGCTGAAGATGAGGCTAGCGATGGAGAGATGGTGAAGGCTGAAGATGAGGAGGCTAGTGATGGGGAGATTGTCAAGGCTGAAGATGAGGAGGCTAGCAATGGAGAGATGGTGAAGGCTGAAGATGAGGCTAGTGATGAAGGCTGAAGATGAGTCTATTGATTAAGAGATGGTGAAGGCTGAAGATGAGGAGGCTAGTGATAGGGAGATGGTGAAGGCTGAAGATGAAGAGGCTAGTGATGGGGAGATGGTCAAGGCTGAAGATGAGGAGGCTAGTGATGGGGAGATGGTGAAGGCTGAAGATGAAGAGGCTAGTGATGGGGAGATGGTGAAGGCTGAAAATGAGGAGGCTAGTGATGGAGAGATGGTTAAGGCTGAAGATGAGGAGGCTAGTGATGGGGAGATGGTGAAGGCTGAAGATGAGGAGGCTAGTGATTAAGAGAAGGAGAAGGCTGAAGATGAGGAGGCTAGTAATGGGGAGATGGTCAAGGCTGAAGATGAGGAGGCTAGTGATGGGGTGATGGTGAAGGCTGAAGATGAGGCTAGCGATGGAGAGATGGTGAAGGCTGAAGATGAGGAGGCTAGTGATGGGGAGATGGTCAAGGCTGAAGATGAGGAGGCTAGCAATGGAGAGATGGTGAAGGCTGAAGATGAGGCTAGTGATGAAGGCTGAAGATGAGTCTATTGATTAAGAGATGGTGAAGGCTGAAGATGAGGAGGCTAGTGATAGGGAGATGGTGAAGGCTGAAGATGAAGAGGCTAGTGATGGGGAGATGGTCAAGGCTGAAGATGAGGAGGCTAGTGATGGGGAGATGGTGAAGGCTGAAGATGAAGAGGCTAGTGATGGGGAGATGGTCAAGGCTGAAAATGAGGAGGCTAGTGATGGAGAGATGGTTAAGGCTGAAGATGAGGAGGCTAGTGATGGGGAGATGGTGAAGGCTGAAGATGAGGAGGCTAGTGATGGGGAGATGGTGAAGGCTGAAGATGAGGAGGCTAGTGATGGGGAGATGGTCAAGGCTGAAGATGAGGAGGCTAGCAATGGAGAGATGGTGAAGGCTGAAGATGAGGCTAGTGATGAAGGCTGAAGATGAGTCTATTGATTAAGAGATGGTGAAGGCTGAAGATGAGGAGGCTAGTGATAGGGAGATGGTGAAGGCTGAAGATGAAGAGGCTAGTGATGGGGAGATGGTCAAGGCTGAAGATGAGGAGGCTAGTGATGGGGAGATGGTGAAGGCTGAAGATGAAGAGGCTAGTGATGGGGAGATGGTCAAGGCTGAAAATGAGGAGGCTAGTGATGGAGAGATGGTTAAGGCTGAAGATGAGGAGGCTAGTGATGGGGTGATGGTCAAGGCTGAAGATGAGGCTAGCGATGGAGAGATGGTGAAGGCTGAAGATGAGGAGGCTAGTGATGGGGAGATGGTCAAGGCTGAAGATGAGGAGGCTAGCAATGGAGAGATGGTGAAGGCTGAAGATGAGGCTAGTGATGAAGGCTGAAGATGAGTCTATTGATTAAGAGATGGTGAAGGCTGAAGATGAGGAGGCTAGTGATAGGGAGATGGTGAAGGCTGAAGATGAAGAGGCTAGTGATGGGGAGATGGTCAAGGCTGAAGATGAGGAGGCTAGTGATGGGGAGATGGTCAAGGCTGAAGATGAGGAGGCTAGTGATAGGGAGATGGTGAAGGCTGAAGATGAGGAGGCTAGTGATTAAGAGAAGGTGAAGGCTGAAGATGAGGATGCTAGTGATGGAGAGATGGTGAAGGCTGAAGATGAGGAGGCTAGTGATTAAGAGAAGGTGAAGGCTGAAGATGAGGAGGCTAGTGATGGAGAGATGATGAAGAATGAAGATGAGGAAGCTAGTGATGGGGTGATGGTGAAGGCTGAAGATGAGGCTAGCGATGGAGAGATGGTGAAGGCTGAAGATGAGGAGGCTAGTGATGGGGAGATGGTCAAGGCTGAAGATGAGGAGGCTGAAGATGAGGAGGCTAGTGATGGAGAGATGGTCAAGGCTGAAGATGAGGAGGCTAGCGATGGAGAGATGGTGAAGGCTGAAGATGAGGCTAGTGATGAAGGCTGAAGATGAGTCTATTGATTAAGAGATGGTGAAGGCTGAAGATGAGGAGGCTAGTGATGGGGAGATGGTGAAGGCTGAAGATGAGGAGGCTAGTGATGGGGAGATGGTCAAGGCTGAAGATGAGGAGGCTAGTGATGGGGAGATGGTCAAGGCTGAAGATGAGGAGGCTAGTGATGGGGTGATGGTGAAGGCTGAAGATGAGGAGGCTAGTGATGGGGAGATGGTGAAGGCTGAAGATGAGGAGGCTAGTGATGGGGAGATGGTCAAGGCTGAAGATGAGGAGGCGAGTGATGGGGAGATGGTCAAGGCTGAAGATGAGGAGGCTAGTGATGGGGAGATGGTCAAGGCTGAAGATGAGGAGGCTAGTGATGGGGAGATGGTCAAGGCTGAAGATGAGGAGGCTAGTGATTAAGAGAAGGTGAAGGCTGAAGATGAGGATGCTAGTGATGGAGAGATGGTGAAGGCTGAAGATGAGGCTAGTGATGGAGAGAAGGTGAAGGCTGAAGATGAGGAGGCTAGTGATTAAGAGAAGGTGAAGGCTGAAGATGAGGATGCTAGTGATGGAGAGATGGTGAAGACTGAAGATGAGGAGGCTAGTGATGGAGAGATGATGAAGGCTGAAGATGAGGAGGCTAGTGATTAAGAGAAGGTGAAAGCTGAAGATGAGTCTAGTGATGGAGAGATGGTGAAGGCTGAAGATGAGGAGGCTTGTGATGGAGAGAAGGTGAAGGCTGAAGGTTGTTGAAGATGTTGATGAATCTGAAGTTTATGTCAAATGCATGCATCTGGTTGGGAAGAAAGGAAGGAATGACTTTTTCTGGCCAAAAACAATAAAGGACAAAAACTGATATGACCATGCCAGTGTGCTGGCAATCATCCCAGAGCCACAGAAGACTCCAGGATCATCTCATTGTGAGGCTGACAATAACATTTGGTCTACAGTTAAAAGCCACTATGAAGGGGTATAATGTCTTGGGGAAGGCAGCTATAATCTTTCAACTTTCTTCTTCGATGGCTTGATGTTGATGTTTAAAGTGTTGCATTCCAGGTTGTAGTTTTAGATTCTTACTTGCAGTTGAAAATTTTCAGTTGCCATGGTAACTGGTTATTATAAGCATGATAAGGGTAACGCTATTTGTCAGGGCATTATTATGTGCAGAAGTCTGAGGTCTTCCATTAACTGCCCGAAGAAGGAGGGCAGTTGAAATGACCGAGGGCTTCTGCAAATGATAATGCCCTGAAAATAGCGTTACCGTTATTATAGCTGAAATGGATGGAATTTGTTATGAAATAAAAAGAAAGAACAATATCGGTTTCGAAACATTTACTACAATCAACACAATGTCACTGACCATGCTGACCCACTTTTACAAATATGGAAACGTCATAGAACAAACCAGATGACATCACTATTAAACGTGATGTCACTATCCCTACCCTATGACATCACCTAACAACTCGTGTGATAATGGCCCGTTGTCAAGCAATAGGAGGGCAGTATCAAGTTACAGTGGCCCGCCGATTTCTGATAACATGCGGGCGTTTTAATGATAATTCTATCCAATTTAGCTATAATTGATGTTATTGACAGCTTCAGATATGTGTTACTCCATTTCAAAAAAAAAATACATATATTATATCAACCATTGGATTTAGTAATTTTGGAATCTCAAATGTGACATCTTTTGAAAATGACTCATATATTGTATCACTGGGTTGAATAACCAGCAGAGATGAATCATTTTCACCTCAGGAACCATGAGACTCTATCAACCAGCTATAAAGACAGCTGAAAAATGGTTTTCCTTGGTTAAAAATCAGTTCCAAATCTTATTATTAAGACCAAATATAACATAGTCAAGGAAAATATTGTGGTTACAAACAATGTCAGGAACTATCCATGATGCCAGGGCAGAAATATCATACATTGAAAATAAACCTGGTGACACACAGATTGGCAGGGTTTTACATAGCGTAGAAAAGTGCATCCCGTACGCAAAATTGTAATTTGTATAGAATGGAAAACAATATATATTGCGTCCAGAGAGACACACAATAATTTGCATTGTACCAAATTCTTGACAAGAAACAAAGTTCCTGTAATTAGAGTAATTGTTAAATCTTCCAGTACAGTATGCTGTATCATTTCATTACTTTACAGGACCCTCATATTTCCTTAAGATGGCATTTGGACATTCAAGATACATTTTCATGATTTTATCCCATTTTGATAGGCCGTTGCTCTATCATATCAACAAAATTACCGATCTTGAAAAAGAATTTCACAACTATCAGTCAATATCCTTCCAGAATATGAAATCATCCAGCTCGTCACAAATCTCCTGGAATATGTAATAGATGGACAAGAGGATTTAACCTAAAGTTCTGACCAATCCATCTCTTACCGTTATTCCCTGCTCTGCCATGATCCAGGTATATCCCACAATATCAACCTACATGTATTCCCTGTTACGCATGTGACTGCCCAACATCTGAGAGGTCCTTCACAAAAGG